TGAAAAAATCGGATCCAAGAGTAGACGCCATTTCCGCCTCTTTGAGTGCCTCTTCCATCCTCCAGATCCAAAGGCAAGCGAGATAATCGATCTGCGATCTGATTCTGCCATTCTGGCCGGTAAACGATTTGGAAACCTTAACTGAGAAATCTGGCTTACCAACGATTAATTCGCATCGAACAGGACTCTTTAGATCCATTCTTGAAGAGGGTGGTGAGAGCGGAGTGATCAGTTCGTAAAGTGAAACGGCGTCGAAAGAGGTAAAGATGCTATTTCTCGTAAGCGCACCCACAAGCGAGAGCTACCTTTTCGCCGGCGGAGTAGTGACGTTCAGAGTCTAACTTTTGTGAAGCATAGATAGTGAATTACTCTTCCTCGTTTTGTAGTTTTGAAAGCACAGCACTGAGGCCGACATCGGAGACGTCAGTTGACACAAAAGTACGGCATGATTCGTCAAAGATGGCAACCAATGGGGTGGTAGAAATCCGTTGTTTAAATTCGTCAAAAGCATTTTGTTGTTCACTTCTCTAAACAAACGGTGACCCCCTTTTTTGTCAGTTTCCCTAGTGGATCCGCCACGGTTGCAAAATCACAAACATATCGCAAGTTGTACGAACACATACCCAGAAATGACATTAGTTCCGTTATGTTACTAGGTATCTGCGAGTCAGCTGTGGCACGGATATTTTCCTTACTGGGATGAATTCCGTTACGGGAAATGATGTGCCCAGGAAATTATATCTCAGGGGCGCTAAATATGCACTTTTTGGTGTTCAAGCGGAGATCGAATCCACTGAGTCGATGAAGGAAATTATGTAAGCTCTCGTCATGCTCTTCCGGTGAGCAACCAAAGACACAAATATCCTCCATTTAAGCAACCTGTCTAACCATACCTGCCAGAGCTTAAGTCATGAATTTCTGTCAGGCAGCAGGCACTGAGCTCAGACTCAAACTTTGTACTGTAACAATTCATCAGGGGCTACGAAGTCGGTAAGGGGTTTGGAGTCGTCAGATAAATGCATGTGAGAAAACCCACTTATTATGTCCAGTTTTGAGAAAACTTTTCCACTGAAAAGGCGAACTGTTAGCTCATCACAAGAAGATAGCACAAATCTCTCAACGACTGTATGTCTTTTTAGACCTTGTAATGATCTACATTGCCGTCTTTTCTCAAAACACTCACCACTGGATGTACAAACTCGGGGCAATCGTTTGGCTTGATTAGATCGTTCGCTAACATATTCTGCAAGCCTGCTTGATGCCTCGCAAGTGGAATTGGTAGAGGTTGTCTAATGGAAACAGGTTTCGCATCCTGTTTCAGCTGGATGCGATAAACACCACATAATATACGTCCGATGGAAGGTTGAAAAAGCTTCGAATAGCGCTCTTGCCAGTATGTTACTCCAATGGAGAAAACAGTCATAGGATCAAAAGATGGCACTACTTTTAACGCAACCATTGCGTTCCTCCCATGCAGAGGCCACTTGTTATCTAATGAAACACATATCGCGACATCCACAGATACTAGGCCATTCTGGAGGGGTACGATGAGCAAACAAAGAATGCTTGAATTATTACCACTGTAACTCCAGAATGAGTGAGCAGACGACTGTAAAGGGTATTCGGATAAGTAACGTTTGTAGAAACTGAAGGACACAAGGAGAAGCGGAATCCGATTATACTTCTAGTGGAATAACACCTTTGCTCGTAAAGAATAAGACAGTTCGAATATCTGCAGAGGGAAGTTTCGGTTCAACAACAAATATCATGACATTTCCCAAGTTGCTGACATCAGCAGTGACTGAGTAAACATGTTGCTGGGCTGAATCGGCTACGTCGTGCTCGGCAACCGATTCATTTTCAACGAGTGCGATGCGTTGGGATCGACAACAGTGAGTAACGTGTCCAAATTTTCCACAGTTTTTAAATGGGACACTGCGGTCTGAACAAGAGAAGTTAGTCTTGTTGGATGTAGTACCACAGCGGTAGCAGGATGGTTTACTCCCCGGTAAGGGACGAGTAGATTGTATTTTTGCCACAGCGGTCAGTTTAGTTACAAAATCTCTTTCGACTGCAGTGCAATCTCCATCTTCATTCTAACCAAGTCGCAGGTTCGATCCCAGATCAGATTTCGGGCGTCTTGTAGCAGCATTTCACGTATACGGCTATCAGGGACTCCAGAGATCAACTGTTGCGTCAGCATGCATCCTACATCTTTTTCTGCGGAATAGAAGAGTAATCGCACGGCCGCAGTGCACGATTAAATCTAGTACTAAAACCATACAAAGTTTCACCTAACTCCTGTTACATTCGGGAGACGACGTATATTGCAGTAAACACGTACATTTGGGAGCCCTAAATGTGCTCGCGATCTATTAATGCATCATCGGCTGATTTGCGTCCATGGAGGTTTAGATCATCAAACTGCCATTGCCTCTCATCTCCCAGCAAGTGAGGAAGCAGCTTTAACTTATTTCCCACGCTGATTGGAGACTTTAGGTCGGTAATTAAATTCAAATGATTCTGGAAGAGAATTTCCCAGCGAAGGCAGACCTCCGACGTAGGTCTGTTTCCACAGACAATCCAAAATCCCGATGGGAGTTGAATTGAAAGCTTCATGGTTGTACCCGCGACGCCAGCTGTTTTATCAGAAGAACATAGATGTAACAGAAGTACATTGTAGGAGGCACGTAGATCGTACAACTGCCCAGAACAAAATGGCACTCACAACTATGTCCGATCATCGATCACTCAGCGCTGAGCGAAGTTCAGCCAGTCTGGATAAGCCTAGGGTGGCGAATCACAACAGTAAGCACTACACTTTAGCTTTAACTTCCCATGTAGGCTAACTACATGTGGAGAATCCGGATGGTGACGCGGCCGGTCACGACTTAAGAGCAAAAATTGTTTAAAATATGCTCGACATGATGACCCTTTCCAACCAGCGTCCCATTGTCACATGTTTTACTGATGCCTGTAAAAGATTTGTAAAGTTCGCTGGAGAATTTAGACAATTTAGACAAGGCGCTTAGCAATTTTACGTCCTGGAAATGAAGGAGACGAAAGCGTCAGCAATACGGCGACCCACCTTACCGTCTTTTCGTTTTCACGCAACCACTAACGGTCGCAGGAGACTTGTATATACCGCGCGATTGTCGGCACCTATGTGGATTCGAACCGGTGACCTCAGGATTATAACGCAGACGCACAATATTTTCGGCCACTGTCTGATTTAAAATGAGCACCAAGCCCATCTCTACGTTGCTATTCAGTTATTCTGTGGCCGAAGCCCTTCAGTCTGTCTATGCATTGAAACGTAGTTAAAATTCCTGGTTGTACCATCATATTTTCATCGGTGGGCTTGTCATAGTCTACTCAATTGTCGTACACATTCTTGCGTTCACTATGGAGCCCCTCGCCGACGTCCATGCACGATGAGATATCAAGGCGGGGGCTCATTAATCAATTCATTTCAGTTGTAGGAAGGCACTGAGTGGGTGGAATACTCACGGTTCCATCGTTCATTAAAACTGATGACGCACAACACAGCAGAATGGATACGCATTTATTCGCCCACTTATTCCTGCTAAACCATAGATCCAATCTTGGTTCTGTTATGGAACAAATTGGTTTGACGGAAGATTATGGTATTAGTTGCGTTTCTATTCTTCATTTTTGCTTCATTCTTAACATGTCTAGCAACGTTACACTTTTCGGCTTTTGATTTATCAATCTGCATTTGAGAGCATTTTTTCTTGAAACCGATCGAGAGATCATAAGCAAAAAATATGTTTGAAAACCAACGGTTAGTGTAAGTGTTAGGTGACGTTTCACTTTTGACACTAAGGATTCATCACACCAGGCGAGTGAGTACATAATTAGAGCAGAACTTGACAGCGAACAAGGGCGATAATCACGATGACAAGAACGACTCAGCGGAATACTGCAATTACAGGTTAAGATGTCACTTCAGCTTTTTTATACCACAACGGGAATATCCAGGTCTTACCTCGTTCATCATAGCATTGACAGACACCGCCCTTATTGGTGCTTGCTAAGAGTCGAATTTTCCTTTCCAACCTAAATTGTCAACCAAAGTTCTTCAAATTTACCGAGGTGAGATCGCTGGCTACCAACTTGCAAATTCTATCCCCTCCCCCATTGTGTTCACGCAGCAGTCAGCTTTGGCGATTTCCACCGCATCGCTAGTTAACCTCTGGGGTACCCTGTGTCCATCACATGCACCGCCACGACTAAGTCCCTAGACGATGCCTAGTATCCGACCTAGTTGCTCGCTGGTCGTGAAATGCTGCTTTTGTGTTTTGGCATACGTGCTAATGGTTGTGGCGTGTTGACCAATGGATAAAAGTGTACGGATTTTATCCATAACGTTACAGACGCTGTTTATTATCCTATCCGTTGGAAAGAAGTCCTTCTAATGTACCGGCTTTGACCTTAGTGTTTGACCCCGTTCGAAGATCATTCTTATATTTCCCTTTTTCAAAATATGTGTGCAATAATCGCGAAGTAGTACAGCGGCTTCGACACGTGACCATTTGATTACAAGTAAAGCACACGAAGCGGCAAAACTGCTGTATGTGCATACGGATTCAGTGGGAGCGTTTAGCACCGCAAAGCCATGGACGAGAATTCCCTGAACGGATGATGCCCCATTGTAGGCTCAGCTCATCTTTTCTGATTTTATTGTTACAACCAGGGTGGCAACTTAAAATCCTTGATCTGCCCACTGCATCTGATTTCATCTCTTATAGTTGTGGCGACCACTGGTATTCATCGCAACATAGAGATCCGGACTTCGGTCCAAGGGATTAGGATAGCGCCTTATGCTCAATACAGAATCAAAACTGTGTAAGACTGAGAGCCCAAGGTGATTGTCCGGTACTTCCAAAGACTTTTAACACCTAGATTTTTAATTTGGTCTACTTTTATGTTGTATCATTTGGACCTCAGATAAACTTTGAGTACATTTCTATCTACAGGCTGGTGACCGTGCAATGCCTCATCAACCCACCATCATTGGATTTCCCAGAAAGTGCTCGTCTGACCTAACGGGAGATGAAATCCAGCGCCGCAGAGGGGCAGACAAAGTAAACTCATTTACCTCCACGTTTATGCTAAAGGGCTATTGTGTATTTTCGCTTGTCCTATGATCCATTCTTTGTGTAATTCATCTCGCTTTCTCTCCTTGTAGCGCGACACTGCCGGAGGAATTTTTGGTCGGACGTTGGTTGACTGGACGCGTCGACGCAGTAGCAAGCGACAATCGAACAGAGAGAACTTAATTGGCGGCGGGCTATGGGGCCCCGCAATGGATGAACACGGTGTGGCATTCAACCACATTAACGGTAGTGCTACAGTGGCAGACAAAGCAGAGTATGGTAATCTGATCACCCCAAATCTTGCAAAAACAGCACACCCAGCAGTGGTGGCTCTACTAGAAAAAGAAAAGTTAGAGTCTGAAGCTGCCAAGTAAGTACTGAGCGTGCAATAAGCCATGTGTGTCAGCAACGTAGAGGAAAACTTTCAATTCCATATGACTTGCCTTCTCTATGATCATTGTGAACACGGTGTTCGTCGGTGTATTGCATTCTTATTTTTTGAAGACAAACATTAATCACTTTCAGTTGTAAAGTATCGTCTGAGATGTGGAGCTAACAAATAATTCACCATAATATTTCCACTCCGTCAAACTTGTAGGGCAACGATTTCCATCCAATATTTTGTAACTTCATCGTTTGTCCTGACTTGAAATGAATGTTACGCATGCTACCGACATCTCTGGCTGCACTACTTTTCAGTTGTGTTTTTGTTAGTTTCAGATGGATTTAACTATGTGATCCTTTTATGTGTTGGAGGCGTATGCACGCTTTAATCCTGCTAGCCTCATTGTACAGACTTCTCATGATGCTCAATGTTTAAGTCTCGGTTTCTATGTGGTGATGATCCATCATTCACACAGCAAGATTCTAACATGATCTTCAAGCTCATAACTTCATTGCCTTACGCTGTAACGCGGTGCTTGTTTCTTCTTTATGTGGTCTATATGTCGCGCTAGTGTCACAAAGCCATACTTGGTCTGTGCCGTTACGTTATACTTGATTAATTATCCAGGTAGGGTCTTTTACTTGATTTTACCCCTTCATAAGACACTAAAATTGGCTACGATCTATGTGAGTTCTGACAAGGTACACACTCATCCGATCCCGCCACATCTTCTACCGGTACCTGAGGGCAACGACCCTAAAGTTATGATGGTCTTCCTAGACTCATAGTGGTTCTATGAAGGAATTCCTTGCTCTGGGGGCCAGCCCTGTCCTCTGCACCTTCATAACACGCATGACAGTGGAGGATCAGCCGCGCTATATGGCAGTTATGTATCAGTCATGGCGGTCCGCTTCCGTCGCCCATGGCTCAGCGGCATACTTCACTGGCTCGTAGGAGTAATGTCATGGGTTCGAATCCGGCACGATTCCGCGGGTCAGAGCTAGCGCTTTCCTGGAGATGTAATGGCTGTCTGGCTGAGTCTAGCTGCGAAGCATCTTCACGAAGACACCATAAATGATATAGTTACTCACACCCTAGCCGTAATTTGTGTTCGCCTGGATGCATGCCTGCTGTTCCCGGTGTTACATGAGTGTACATCAGACATATAGAGCTCCCGCACCACCGCAACTATCCTCAGAGTACATATGCTCATCCGAGAACCGAACAATTAATCAGATGTGAATTACACATGATTACTTTGTGATGAATTTGTTCGAAAACATTCTCTAATTAGGTTTGTTCTGGGCTGCTGTTTCTTAGAATGTTTCCTTTGCCTGCCTAGTTTTTCGAACGTTTTTGCGCTCATTCATTTAAAGTATTAGTTACATGGGCCACCACAATCACTTACGTGGATATCTTTACCGCCTCGATCTATCATCCTGCAAGCCTGTTTGCAATTAACAATCAAATGAGCTGCGGTACAAAAACGTAAATCCGTCCTCATGCTCCTCCACAATCGAAAGATTTGCCCCGATTAGCACTGCGTTCAGATTGACGACCATTTTCTTCCCCAACTGCTTTATTACTCTGTTTGAGCTGATGGAACGCATACGAAAGTATACAGAGCAGGGCAGATGTTTGACATTTTTATGTCGCTGCAGTTATTTATTCGTCCATAAAGAAAAATGAAGTTATTCGGCAATATCTCTTGCGGTTCTAGCTGTTCTTTCTCCCTGTCTGTGCATGCTTCGATAGTCTGGCTTGGAGTGCGTGAAAATTGGTTGCTAGCATTGCTGTCTATGCCTGTTTGTGCATGGGTTACCCTCGTGATCTGCTCGAATAATTTATAGTATGCAAAGCTGTCCACACAGTTTGATTGCTCATCTTACTCTGTGTTGCTCGGTGACTACTTGCCTGCGTTTGCTTCATTCCCTCCCCCTCATTCTCTTCCAATATCATTACGCAACCGGATCTCCAGACGCCCCACTCAGTGCATCATTTGTCTTCCGTTACGCCTCTGTGTTCACATCCCAGACCCCGAAATGCTGCTCATTCGTCACGTCCTGCTTGGCGCTGTGAAGCAGAAGTCAGTGATGATGGAAGACAAACTGAATTTGGACAAGCAGTGAACACTGTCAACTGGAAAAGGGAAACGGAAGCGAAATTGCAGGGAGAAAAAGTTGTGGATCCCATCATGACAAATCGGGCGGTTGTTTGTGGTGAACTGTTGCCGCCCACTCCTATTCGCCCGCCCACGCCCTTCTTTGCTCGCATTGGTTCACCAAGCATGCCCATTTTCACCTCTGACGAACTGCTGCACTTGCTTCAAGCCCGAGTCTATTCAGCGTAATGCTTGCTTGTTGCTTCCTGAAATGTTACTTACACTTAGTGATTTCGTCATCAAGCGAAAATCTTGTCGATTCCAGGTCACAGTCAGCCATGAGAAATGTTTGTTATCATTACCTAAGGATTAGGTTTTTTCTATTTCCCATACCTGTCTCATGCAGCACCGATTGATTTTCTAACTAATTTAGTTGTGCCCGAAAGTTAGTTCTTTATACTCGTCTCATCACTAAGAAATGACAAGAGGCTCTTATAACCTAGACCTCGGCTCACAGCCGAACCTTGTAGAGCTAACTGATGTTGTAGCTGGGGGCATTGGTCAATCACCCATGCATAGTAAATCACTCATGTAAGTTGCATTTATGAAGCGAACGACAGTTGACCTCTATCACTGACCTCAGGACAAAGCTTGTATTATTAATTACTGTTTGAGTCATCGGAAAATGGTGGTGCTAGTTCAGATCCACCCAGTGCTTCCACATGAAACATTTCACAACCAGCAGTTATCAGTAGTCGCTACAGCTCATTCACCTCATGCCTTTATGCTGTTTTGACAGGCACACCGGTCAGCTTGGTGTTCCTCAGCCACAAGATTCTCGCACGCAGACCAGCGGTTTCTTGGAACCTGCAAAGAACGTCTTAGGATTCCTTCGGAAAGGAAGTTTCCGTTCTTCTTCTGCTAATCTGAGAGTAAGTGTTTTAGTAAATGTTGCTTATCTCTTATTTCACATTTTTATATGATGTTACCATATGTGCTGACATGTTTAAGCTATTAAACTTCTTGCCACCTTGTCACTATGCGGTTGCCAACTAGATACAAGCTCTGAAAAGGCATCCCAACTTATCAATTACCATTGCCATTCTTATTATTACTTGGACCGATCGACCGCAGTTAACCTGATGTCTGTCCAGTTGTGCTTTGAGAGCTGAATCAGTCCAAGATAATCGAGGCGCAAAACATTTATAGTGTCTCTTTAATCGCTTTTAGCCAAACGGTGATCAGGTTAAATTTATTACAGGCTGACAACTGCTTCTCTAACATGGCATAAAGCCTGAGAGGTGGTCTCGCCTTTTTCAGCGTTTATGCTATTTTCTCTAGCTGGCGAAGTGGTTTCCGATTTTGTAACTTTGCACGTTTGGCATGTGAAAGCCCCAATACTGATAGGAGTGATCCTTAGAAATATTCCAAACTCGTGTGTATGCTACCACAAGGATTCTTGTTTAATAATGGTAAGGTTTAGCATACACCATAATACATTGATATGTCATTTCTTGTGGTGATGATGGACGGTGTATCCCCCCTGCTTTCAGTCACACAACTTATGCGCGTTGTTTACTTGTATTATGCGGAATAGATGTCATTACTATGACGCATCTGGACGCTCAGCACTGGCCCAGTTTTATATGTTATTGTCGTATTGGGGGACAGATGGTGGTTCCTTGGACCCAGTTCCTGCCTCCATCCGTTAGCATTCAAGTGCAACAAGCTGAAATAAGCTATAGACTGATGCCTTTCTCCCTTGCGCCATATCTTCGAAAATCATCCTAGAGACAATCGGAAACTTACGGAGTTTCTCTATATGTTTTTGCACTTGGAAATCTTGCGAAAAATATGGATGCATTTCAGAGTACAGAAAGGAACGTTTATAATGTCCCACAAACTAGTCCCTCAAACTGGCTACTTTTATGAACAAGGGAACCAATATCCTTTTTTCGGCGACATTTTGTCAGTAGAGTGCACCGCGACGGTACTGGACTTTCGCATGTTGTAACGACTAGCTTTTCTTCGTGCTTTCTTGAGCCAGTTGAAATTCAACCGTCAATTTCCAATTAGATTGTGTACATCATAACACTTTCCATCGGATAAATCGTACCTCGCACACGCCGACTGCCAACTCAGGGGAGAATAGTGTCGGGTTTTGTACTGTACTCATTCTGTACTGCTTCCCAGTCGGGACGAATGATTTGACTCTTGTGGACTGAACTCCGCGCGGATAGGCAGCTCATCGAATTCGGATTGATACTCCTAGTGAGACTTATTACTCCAACGTTGTACGCGTATTTATTGCACAGCTAACCACTGTATCCCACGACAGTTGTCATGTTGACACATTTTTCACTAAAGCTCATGGTAGACGAAGGCATTTTATGGTGGCGTCATTGCGGGGGTTAGGTTGTCGATAACCCGGCAACACAGGCTCTGAAGTCAGAACGGAGGTGACGATGTCACGATAAGAGCTTGCTTAATCGCCGCACGGCAATAGTATAGCCGAGATAGAGGCCGGGAATGGTATTAATAGCACAATTAATGCAATGACCTAAGGCAGGCGGACACATCCGGCAGGGAAGATCCCTCATACTATGACAATGAGATCACTTCATCCAGCAAGTAGAATATATGGATAGGCAGCCTGAATTCTCAGGCCAAATGTACTGGCTATCCCAAATCCTTGATATTTGAATATTGTTCTACTTTCCCTCTGGCTGCATGAAAAGTTACCATGAAGTTCGTCCGTGAAAACTGTAGTTGTCTGTGCTTCCGACTGCGACAGACGCATGCTACTCCAAGTTGTGATCATGGCCCCGAGCGTGGTTTCAGTTACATGAGCGTGCTAATAAACTTGATTCGGCTGACACACGCAGCGCCAGTATACATCATTCGCTCTCGCTCTAGAATTGTACGCAACCGGTACTGTTCATACTGTCAATGGTGTTATTTATCCATCTAATGACTGGGAATAGGAAATTAGACCTTATCCGGTATGTACCACTTCAGATCTATCCAATTCGGAGTTGGTTGAGCTTTACGGCGCAGTCTCCTTAACGACTGATCGCACTCGAATTTTTGACATATTGTATGAGTCGGTGTTTTTGCAGACTATCCAAATGAAGATGTATAAAAGCCGCATCCAGCCTGCCGTCTAGGTAACCTTTTCGTCAGCTACCAACGAACAAATGGATTAAAGTCCCACTCCGATGAATATTTATTTACTACCAGCATAACAGTTTCACCCAGTTTGGCAGCTTGGTATACTACCCGGTTCGATAAATTTATGGGAAACGACTCCAGTCTGTTGTAGTGATAACCCCACTCTGTCAAACGAGTCATTGTGTGGAGTCATTGTGTGTCGGAAGACTGACAATTGTACCGCGATTTGTTTTGTTTCAGTGAAACAAAGGATCTACTGAACTGACACTACAAGAACGGAGATTGTGGTAAACTGGCCGAATTTGCACTGCGGGCCTTCATTGACCCAGCTCCCTTACTAGCTTATCAACTTCCGATTGACTATTCAAATTTAACCGTGGTTAGCAAAACAGCTCCAATCCATCTGCACGCCAGTGGTGTCGTAACGGGGTACTGGAGCAAATTAGATGCAGTCATCACGCCATTAAATCGCTAGGCTACTTCACTCTAACTACTCTGGCACTCCAGAAGCACACTTTTTGTGATAATCCTTGTTACTCCTTAACGCGTTAAGATGATCTAATATCCTCCGTTCTCCATTGAGTTACCATCGTTGGCACATTACTGCTACCTCCACAGACTATCAGACTGGACAGGTTAATAGGCAACACTGGGACCAATTCATCTCAGCGTTCGCTTGTGGGAAGGTGGAGCAGCGGTCGTAAACCCATTCCCTTGGTTCCCCTTCATTTGAGACCACAGTTTACAAGACGTGCGCTTATTTCATTCAGAGCAAAGTACGAGTGCAGCAGATCGTTTCTAACTGCGACGCACTGGTTTTCCAAAGCATTATAAATCCGGCAACCTTAACCAATGAGATGTAAACCGTGATCATGAGTTGGTAATAGTGTACGGTCAAGAAAGATACTTTGATTCTGCTGCAGCCTGAAAACTACGTATGAGTCTAGACCAACAGATTCCCATTGGATTTCTCAGTCACATTATGCTTCCCGCAGCGTACCGACGAACCTAATTGTGGTTCCTGCTTAAGATACACTTAATCTGGCAGCTGTTTTTTTCGGCTCGTTAGAAATTGAAGATTCGATATTCATCAAAAGTAAAAAATCATATATTTCATACCAACACTGAAAGGCATGCCTGTTCTTGTATGTCTGGTGAAAAATACGAATATGCGTTATGTATGTTTTATTTATTCAAAGGCATCTACAATAAAAGGGGTTAAATGAATCAGCGACCTCTTAATTCTAGCTTTACAAAAGTATGACTTGTCCATTAAGCCGTCGCCCAAACACAAGTTTTCGATTCGGTTAGATAAAATGAAGTCAAACTCGCAATAACGCAGAGCCTGATGGCCTGCGGTTATAGGCGTACAACAAGACGCATGAAAACACAGTTCGAAACCAACCTCAGCTTATTTATATCGGAAGCGCCAAAGCAAGGAGAGAACTGATGGCGTTGAGAGAGCTGGTGACTAATATTAATGGATTGAAGCAAACGAGCCCACGATCGATCATCGCCGTGTGGATTTAGAACATCAACCAGAACTTCTGTGCAGCCCTACTTAGAGCTACTAGCTAAGTTCAGCACAAGATGTAAACTCTGTTAGAGGTTTCATTGATTGCAACAACCAATTGGCATCTCAGGTATGATTCATTGATTCCACTGTGTTTAGTAGCGTTGCTTCCCTCTATATGTACCACGGTATTCCCCATGCTATAGAATTCTGTACTGCCTCAGCTTGTCTACGCGTTCTCGTCTACGGTCGGTAGTTTTGCGCAATTGTGTTGGGGTTTGATAAGCGATTCCGCGGCGGCTCAACATTTTTGACGACGGATGCAAATATATTCAAGATGTCAATTTCAGCAGGAAATCTGAAAGCTGTTTTGCCTCAACAGTAGCAACCATTCGAGGCCGCGCAGTAGCAAATGATCGAGACTCTCACTCAAACACAGTCTACATCCGTTTACATTGATGCGAAACCTTCAGTTCATTCAACAATCAACAGTATCAGTGAGTTTGTTTTTGATCCCGCTTCAGGGCTGATTTTCAACGCATGCTTCAGGCTTTATGAAGATATTTTCAAGACGGGGTTATCAGATCTTGATGATACGTCAAAAGCATGGCTACTCTTGCCTAAACCCGGAAAGGTGGAGCACAACAGATACATACATTACATTCTGACCAAAAGTGCTCAATATTTCAGTCTCGGTGAAACACGATGTTCAGCGATCAGGCATTGCTTTTCTACAAGCCTTACAACAGTCTGAAGCTGTGCAAAAGGGACAGCGACAGTCTCATAGCTCATGTAGCAACAGTACAACGAGCGTGCCAGAAATTCAGGCTGAAATCACTTACTGAGGACCAATTTGTGGGTCTGTTATTGGTACACAGCCTGCAATCTCCAAATGATGCCGAGATCCGAACCAGAATACTCGGGCTGTTGAAGTGAGACTCGGAAGTCCCACTGCAAAATGTCATTGCAGATGCCAAGACCATCACTAATTTAAAACACGATACAGCTATGTCCGAGGATACGAAGACGCATTACATTGATTTTCCCATCAAACAGATTTCGAGGAACAAGTTTCCAGCCACTGCTCGCAAGGTGCTTCCTCAAGGTAAGTCAACATGAGCATTTTGGCAATGTGGAAGCTGGCATTTTGTTAGATAGTGTCTATTCAGCAAGCATATCTGCCGGAAATGCCTTAGACGTGCGCACAAAGAAACTCATTGTATATCGGATCCATCTTTCAGACCGGTT